GGTTTTGAACCGCCAGCCTTCTGGTTAACAGTCACATGCCTTAGGCACTATGCCACCAGACCTCCTAGGGCTTTGCTAAGCCTGTCCAAATTGTAGATGTAGAAGCAAATAAATGACTGCTGTTGTTTTGTTTTAAACCAACAGTATTGTGGTGGTTTGTTATGTAGCAGTAGACAGTTAGAATACATATTAAACTGTTGATTTTTTTTTTAAGTATGAAAAAAATCATTTGGTTAATACATCAGAAATCATAGTAAGATTGCATTACCTTCACATTGCCATGTTCAATTAGCTGTAGATAATCTCTGGAACCAGGCGCTGAGGTGATATATCCCAGAAATATCACTTGATTAGAGCTATTTTTCAATAGCTTTGAAACAGCAATAGCCTGAAGTTTCCTGTCCAAGTCATCCCTAAAAGAAATGAAAAGATGTATCTTTTTTATTATATTTGCAAAGCAACTTTAAAAAGTCTTAGGTAGCTAAATTCCCAAAGAACATCTTCAAATAGTGCACAAAGCCAGACTATTTCCTCCTGGGGCACATGCCTCAATGTTACGCAAATGAGCAAGACAGTGGTTCAGCTGAACAGGCTGACAAACTTTTGATTAAGAACATGAGCCTCCTCCACAAATCATTCAGAATTAAGATAATTTAAATATCTTTCTTTAAAAAACAACATTTGTTCAACTTTTCATCAGAAGAAATTACAAGTACACCCGTTGGTTAACATTCGTTTGGAAACATCCAACTGCATGTACATGTGCAGTTTTTTTGTTTTTTTTTTTCATAAGGGGAGGGAAGCAGCTCTCCTTTTGTTTCTTATTTCCCTCAATGGTTTTAAAGACCTGAGACCCAGACTCTTGACCACAAGTAGGATACAGGCAGGTGAGACGGAGGTCATGGCTCTGTGTGCCAGCTCTCAGCCTTTGTCTGGAGGCAGGTGGACAGAAACTATGGGCTCAGGCTGCTCTTGCTGCTCAAGCGGGCAAAATAGAAAGTGGGGCTGGACACGCTCCACTCCTTTCTCACTTACTTCCTCTCACTCCGCTCCCACTGCAGCTGCCCTCTCAGCTACCACCAATGCTGCCGCCTATTCCTCTAGCCTCTGCCAGAAGCTCTAGTAAAAGCAGCAGCAGCAACAATGGTGATGAGGACGACTGGAAGCAGGCTTCCATAAGGTTTTAATATGGTGTTCACACAACGTTCAAATTACATAACGTCTTATTTCACAGAATGTATCATGGAACTAAGTGACACATACCTACATATCAACTAATGTGAGACCTACTACTCATCAGAATTACAGCTAAAAATGTCATAAAGAAAAGATCCAGTAATACTGGTAAAAAGGAGAACCCTAAAATTCACAGAACACTTCAGGATCATATAACACACTCACCTTCTTCAACTGAACTTTCTGAAAACCTCCCTGACTCTCCCGGCCAAGCAGGCTAAACATGGTACTTTGACTATGCTAAGCCCTGTGGAGAGGCAGTGGAAGTTCAGTGGTAGACTCTTTCCCTTTTATGTAGGAGACTTAGGTTTGATTCTGCTAATCCACCTCATGTGTAGCCATCTCTCAGTGGAGGTTTGCGTGCTGCTATGATGCTGAACAGACTTCAGAGGAGCCTTCCAGGTGAGACAGACTAGGAAGAAAAACCTGGTGACCTACTTC